GGTGTTTTTTTTTTTTTTTTTTTTTTTTGTGGTTGGACTCGATGATCTCTGAGGTCCCTTCCAACCACCACAATTCTGTGATTCTGTGATTCTGTGATTTGCACAGACAAATTGGGGTACTCTCCTGCTGTATAGGCTCCAACACAGCAGTACGGTCAATGGTTTGTATTGCTCCAGAGCTCGCTCACCCTTATCACCTCAAGACAATATATATATATATGTACACACACACTGAAATGTCAACATCAACAGATGAATCCAATACAATTGTTTTTTATCTACCTACTTGCATGGCAAAGTTCTCCTTGCCTCTAGCATTTCTCCAGATGTGAGGTTATAGAGGGGCTTCTTCAGTAAATGGTTGCTCTTCCAGGAGCTCTTTTTTTTTTTCATTGGGTACTTCTAAGATCTTCTGGTATTGAACTAACCCTCTGTTAAAATTAATTAGCTTTTCTACAGAACTAGCATTCCAGATCCTTTGACTGGCATAATTTGTTCTTTATTGTTTGAGATAGTGAGATAGTGAATAATTAGTATTGCAATTTTTTTTTTTTCCCAGTAAAATCGAGGAGGGACATGGAAACAGGTAAATACTCCTTGAAAACTGTGAGAATATCTTGAAAACATAAAATCAAAGACACTGCTCTAATGCATTTTCTTGGTCATGAATCTCAAAAATAGCAGTTGTTATTGGCATAAAGGATTCGAAGACAATTGGCCACGTTGTCTTTTGTAATTAAAAAATATTGACACCTTCATAGGGAGCCTTAAATAGAATAAATCACTCAGAATAAATCAGTCCTCTGATGCTTGCAAGATGCTGAACAGACCCAAACACCATGATCTAATACAATTGCACTAATATCTTGAGGTGTAACCTTATCAATGTTGTAATTGTTCTGAAAATGCCATTGTTCTCTGCCAGATTTATGCTCCGTTTTTCACATGTCTGGATCTCAATAATCCATGTATTCTGATCCTTGTTCTCCTCTGTTTTAATAGTAATAATAATTACCAAGATTATTAGGAAAAAAAAAAAAAAAATTAAGTAACAAGCCCTGAACTGCTTACTGCTAAATTACACTCCATGTCTTTGACTCTGATCCTCTCATCCAGACAGTTTAGCCTGAAAAAAAAAAGTAACAATTCCTTCTGCAATTTCTTCAAATTCTGTGTGTCATCAGCATATATTTCTTGTCAAATAATGATAACAGTAAACAGGACAGGGCCCAGACATAGTCTAGAGGAGCTCATTTATCTCATTTTGGCTTTTAACTTACCAATGAGATTCTATGTAATTAAGTTTCTAAAGTAATAGAAGTTTCTGGGTCTTCATCAGGGTCTTGATTTTGTAGACAGCTAATAGAAATAGGAACATTCAGAGAGAGATCAGCCCGAAATTCTTTGAGAAACCTCTTACTGGGAAAAAGACTTGGGAGGTGGGGGATGGACTTCCTACATATATATATATATAGGTCCTATAATGGACCTACAAAAAACCTAAGACATTCACTTTGAAAATACCAGAAGAGGTCAGATGAAGGTTATCTCATCTGTCTAGCCAGTTAAGGTCTCCTCCAATTTTTTATGCTAATTTATCTGTTTAATTGATTTCCCAGTTCTCTGTCTAACTCAACCTTCTTTACCTCATCAAATAGATAAAATCGATCATGGTTCCTATATTAACATATAATTGAAGAAAAAGAAAGTAAAACTATTCAAGAAAACGTAATTAAATGCTTTAAATCTGATACTGAAACTTATACATTAAAATTTTTCTTTCAGAAAAACAACGCTTGAAAACAGAAATAGGTAAGAATACAGTTTTCCTGTTCCCTAAAATACTTCTAGGGTGGATGCTATTTATATCTCCAAAAAAGCAAATGAGATACAGATTTTTATAGGACGTACACATGACATTATGATGTATCTATTCCCTTTAGCAAACATTTTTATGATCTGTTTTCATGTTTGATTATAAATTCAAAAATTATCCATTTTCCAATAACTTGTTGGAGCTTTAGTAATTGAGGACAACAAAATAATTTAAACACTCATCTCATAATTTGTAACTTCTAAATTAAACCAACTGCCCAAACAGTAACGTTTCTTTCTTTCTTTCTTTTTTTTTTTTTTTTTTTTTTTTTTTTTTGTTGATCAACTTAGCATTCCGGAAGAATACAAACGAAGGAGGTAAATGCAATTTAAGACAATGTTAATCCACTCTCAGGAGTAAGCATATATGAAAGAATGAAAATAGGCTACTTCATAAGAAAAAAGCATAGTAGCTTGCCTGTATTCAAGTAATTGCTACTTATATTTCATTTTTAGTCACTGCTAAAATATATTATTTAGCATGGCTCTATTTCTTAGAGGTTTGTGATGCTTTTCTGTCTCAGTGCAATCTCTTTGCCTGGAGTCTCACTGATTATATTGAAATTTCTTGAAGCTCTGACCTACTGCTACTGTTCTTTCTCACTTTCTCATCAAATTATTCAAACAGCAATAACTAGCATCACAAAGCCCAAAATGTACAGCTTGGACTCTGCATCCTGAGAAATATGGGTTTGGATGTTTAGCTACATACGAAATAAGTACTAAGAAAAATGCTCTCTTGTGCTTCCCCATTTCTTCCTGCTTCATCCCTCAACCGAGATACCCACCTGGAGAGGACAAATACACACTCCTGGATGCCAGCTCCCTGTGGATGAGTAGGCAGAAGAACACCAGACAGGAGACTTTAGGACATCTCAAATAACATTAAACAGTTTGTGCCTATGAATAAACAGTAGACAGACAATATTAGACAATTTGTGCCACAATGAGGAGGATACTATCAGTGCTGCCAGTATTGATCAGAAACATTGCTAATTGCACCCAGACAACTCAAAAATAGACACCTGCATTTGGTCACCAATGCCTGCAAACCAAACTATTTTGTCTATGTTCATTTGGGTGGAAATTCAGCTGTTTATACTAGGATACCTAGATTCTGCTGAGACGCCATGTGGTTTCCTGGTGAAGGCCACTTCAGACACCGCAGGGGGTGTACAACTAAGGGAAGAAAGGTAATAAAAATTAAAAAAGAATGCCATACCTCTAAAGCAGAGAAACAGTGCAGTATAATTCTGTAAATTTGCACCTGACTTTTAAAAATATGCTTTTAAGAATTTAGGTTGACAAGTGTTCACATGGTAAATTTTAAAGGACAAAGTAATTTCAGTATTTGCACAGCGATAGAATTATTTCCTTCAGATCTCACTTCTTCAATGTGATCTCCTGGAGTTTTCATTTCACTTATTAAAGTTATTCTTTTACAGCAATGACTGAAAACAGAAGTCACCTTGGTAAGAAAACATCTTGCATAAATCTTATATTTTTATAAACCTCATAGAAAATAAAGCAAATGTAAGGACAAGCCTGACTATGCCACCTGAGAGGGTGAAGCCAATGTAAATATCTCCTCACAGTGAGGTTCAATTTTCTCCTTCAAGAGATTTGTCACACATGTTGCTATAAGAGCTCCCTGGACTACCAAAAACATTCCTTGCCAGAAGTATTTCTTACCTAAAAAGTACAGCAAATCTACGGACACCTATGTTGCATCGTGTGTTTTTTACCTGAACTATAACAATGGCACCCAGGAAATTAATTTCCTCCACGCAGCTCTACTGGCTGACTTAATGTCCTTTGAAAAGGTTCCTAAATGTAAACAAATGCAAACATTCTCTAGAAGGTCCAGTTTATGTCCCTCACCTTACAATGAAGTCTCAAAAATTTAAATCACACAAATTGAAAAAAAGTCCTTATAGTGACTCATGGCTTTATACTTATCCTTCTATTGTTTTGGGTTGTCCAAAAAACTCATCACAAAATAACTGTTAATAACTAGAACATTTTTCCCTTTCAGAGCGAATCAAAGCTGAGCTGGGTAAGCGGTTTAAAAGTTTTCTTTTATTACTATATGTACTGATGCATTTAATAAAGTCAGTCAGGGGAAAGAATGGGTAATGACAATAATTTCAAATCAATAGGCAGAGACACTGTAGGTCCACAGGTATCTAACTGCCAAAAGGATTCATAAAATACTACTCTCTGTTTCCTTTCTGTAGATTGCTGGGAAGCGAGAAGCTGTGCAGGTAAACTGGCAGGATGAAGGATGTGAACATGCAGTGTCCATTCATCCTAGTTATCCTGAAATGACAATGCCACAATGTCAGAGATACGTCAACTGAGCTGGAGTCACAGGAATATGCTGCCTGGGTTAACAGGAAAAGGGGCTGGGATGTGGCTGTCAGGAAAACTAAGAAACAGAGTTTCTGAAAGGGGTCAAAATCTGGGGTGGGATGTGGACACAATTCTGGAGAGGATGGATGGCACTATGGAAAAGAGAGAGAGAAATTTATGGTAAAGCATGTAGAATTTCACCCTAAAAGAGGACATGGCTGTGAGAGATCCAAGCTGCCTCTCAGTTCATCAGTGGTTGCACACCCTGTTCTGGGGAATGTTTACATTCTTTGTTGAATTGCACCAGGTGATTGAATTGACCCTCAAACGCTTCAACCCATACCCGTGTGCGGAGAGAAGTCTCTGAGACTCTCTGCTCATGGGATGATTCTTGCTTTCCCCTCCAGTTCCCATTACTGTGAATCACGAGTGCCGAGTCCTGGAGCTCCAGGTGCCAGGGCTTCCAGATGTGGAGAGCGACACAGCTGGATCTGCTGGCCCGAACACTCCCTCCACAGTCCCTGTCCTGGTGGGGAAGGAAGGCTTTGCCTCTGGGAAACACTACTGGGAGGTGGAGGTGGGCCAGGAGCAGGACTGGGTGCTGGGGGTGGTGAGGGAGAAAGGCAGAGAGGAGGAGGAAGGAACCCGTCCTAGGGAGGACTACTGGGCTCTGCACAGGTCCCAGGGAGAGATTTTCTCAAGCACAGGAGACCACAGGATTGAGAAACAGATGAGTTGTTCAGTGATTGGTGTGCTTCTGGACTTGGAGGAAGGGCAAGTGAACTTTTATGACGCAAAGCAGATACGCATCATAGTAAGAATGCCTCTGAGACTTGGAAAGAAACCTCCAGAAATGTTTTACCCATTTTTATCCAAGAGGGAAAGGACACACACCCCTCTTATCCGCTCAGTCTCAATCCCTGTCCCATTAAAGCACCTTTAAATAGACTGTGAGATCTAATGGATTATGGAAAGACAGTTCAGTGGAAAGAGGGAAAAAGTTAAATCTCAGACATCAGTAAGGTAAAGCTAAATAAGATGAAACCTGAGGCTGAAACGGGGAAAAAAGAAATAAGCAAGGAAAAAGTGTCAGCTAGTTGAAAGAAGACTGGAGTCAGATTAAGAAAACTCCAGGCAGGAGTCCTAGTTCCCTTTACAGATCATTAAAGTCTTATCTGTGCAGCAGTGGTTTCATTTGCTTGAAGACATAATTGTAATTTAGATGTTATATAGTGTGTCTTTCCTTCTTCTCTAGATATTTATGTTAGGTTAAATGCCATCCCTAAAGCTAGGCAAGCCACATTCTACCATTCTTGTATGAAGAAATGAAATAAATGTATTTTGAAAGAAAAGAGTGTTGTTTTGAAAACTTTTCTTTTAGACATGAAGCTCATTGGAAACTTGACAGGGTACTGAGCATAACAGTACATCGTCAGTACAACAGTACAACACTGCATCACAGTGGGGGGTTGACCCTGGCTAGAAGCCAGGCACTGGCACAGATGCTTGCTCCCTCCTCATCAGGACAGGGAGAGAAAACAAGAGGAACTGGAGGGAGAAAAATCATGGGTCAAAATAAACACCAAGAAATCACTTACCAGTTGCTGTCATGAGCAAAAGAGATTAGGCTTGGGGAATTTAATTTAATTTACTGCCCATTGGCAGAAATATTTAATTATTGGTTTGGGTGTCAGGAATCAAAAAAATAAATTAATTTCAATCACCTTTCAATCACACTGTCCCAGTCTAAACTTCAAACTCAGGCTCAACTCCATTCCAGACACGTCTCCCACCATCTTTTCATCACGAAAGGCTGCACTCAGTCTCTCCAGTGAGGCAACAAACAGTGCAAGGGGTTGAGGCCATGGGTAATGGTTTCTCTTTGCCACTCCATCATGCTCACTCCTTTCCTTTACTTTAGTGTGGGTCCTCCATGGGCTGCACTCCCATCACAAGTGAACCTGCTCCAGTCCGGGTTTACCCACGGGCTGAAATCCCTTCATGGGGTTACCTGCTTATGGAGCACCTCCTCCTCCTCTGACCTTCTGCTGTTTCTCAGATCTCTTTTGTTCCCTTGTCCTTCTGGCATTTTTTGCCCTTTCACAAATACATTTTCACCAAGATGCAAAGCTTTAGATGCTGTCCTGCAAAGATGATCAGATCATGGTCTCTAAATTGGAGAGACATGGATTTGTTGGATGGACCAGTTGGTGGATAATGAACTGGTTGGATGGTCACACTCAAAGGGTTGTGGTCAATGACTCAATATGCAAGTGAAAACCAGTGAAGGTGGCATTCCTCAGGGGTCAGTACTGAGACGGGTATTATTTAACACCTTTGTTGGCCACATGGATGTTGGGATTGAGTCAAACTTCAGAAAGTTTGCCAATGACACCAAGATGTGGGAATAAGTTGACACACTGGAAGGAAGGGGTGCCAGGAAGGACCTGGACAGGCTTGAGAGGTGGGCCTGTGCAAACCTCATGAAGTTCAACAAGGCCAAGTGCAAGGTCCCACATGTGGGTCAGGGTAATCCCAAGCACAAATATTGGCCAGGAGGAGAATGGCTTGAGAGCAGCCCCGAGGAAAAGGACTTCTGATGGTTGGTGGACTGGAAGCTCAACATGAGACAGCAATGTGTGCTAACAGCCCAGAAAGCCAACATCACCCTGGGCTACATCAAAAGAAGCCAGCAGGGCAAGGGAGGGGATTCTACCCCTCTGCTCTGGTGAGACCCCACATCTGTCCAGCTTTAGAGCCCCAGCACAAGAAGAACATGGACCTGTTGGAGAGAGTCCAGAGGAGGCCATAAAGATGATCAGAGGACTGGACCACGTCTACTATGAGGACAGGCTGAGAGAATTGGGGTTGTTCAGCCTGGAGAAGAGAAGGCTCCAGGGAGACTTTTTAGTAGGGCCTCTTGTTACAGGAGAAGGGGTAATAATTTAAAACTAAAAGAGGGTAGATTTAGACTTAGATATAAGGAAGAAACTTTAAACATGAGGGTGGTGAAACACTGGTCTAGGTTGCCCAGAGAAGTGGTAGATGCCCTTAAAACACTCAAGGTCAGGTTGGACAGGGCTCTGAGCAATCTCATCTAGTTGAAGATGTCCCTGGTCATTGCAGCGAGGTTGGACTAGATGGTCTTGAAAGGATACTCGCAACCCAAACTAGTCTATGATTCTGTGATTCCATGTTCCTGTGAAATCTTCTTTCGCTATTAACATACTGTTCAGAAACTGAGTTGATGCACAGCTGGGAGGTGGGAAAATCAGCTCACTGAGCTCCAGAAAGTTGAGAAGAATTTTTTCATATTTCACATGTTCAAGTTAAGCTGCTGTTTTACTAGGGACCCCTGTGCATGGGCACCTGCCTTTTCTTGCTAATGGTTGAGTCTGGGTAGAAAGGTACATCCCACTTCCCCAGAGGCTGGGCACTGATGCTATCAAACATGTTGAAATAGTCTTCAAATGGAAATGATTACGGTTTTTAATCATGGGTTTGTTTGGGTGGGTTTTTTGTCTTTTTTTTTGCTTTTTCTTGTTTGTTTTTTTTTTTAATGAACCATGTCTAAATGATGATTGAGAAACAGAGGAGATGGAAAATGGAGGTTGCTCCTACTCCCATTTCCTGATGATATGATCCTGGAAGAAGAAAGAGCTCAGCACAACGAGCTATACCACTCCTTTTCCCAGAAACCTGCATTGTTGTCCAAAACCAGTTCCAGCCAGTCCAACAAGGTTTCACTGCAAAAAAAACACTGCTTATCTTACTTTTAGTGAATCCCTTTTCATCTTTGCACCTACCTGGACTCAGGGCCAATTGAAAAAGAGATGGGTTCAAAGATTAACCATTATGACGGTTGGAACAAAGAGCTTGCTTTCACCTTTGCTTCAAGGAGGTGTTTCCTGCCTGCAGTGCTCCCTCACGCCATCACTGCCAGCCCTTTATGCTCCTCCCATCTCTCTGTGACTCTCTTGCCTTCTGGAGGTGGTGGTACAGCAGCCCTGGTGGGTTCTGCCCCTGATCCTCCTTCCCTTCTCTTCCCTCCTGCTCTGATTTCAGCAAAGTCTGCAACGGCTCCAAACTTGCTTTCTCTTTATAGTGGAACAGAGAAGTGAAACATCGCGCTCTCAGCAAGACGCAGAGCAAGCAATAGACTTTTATAAGGTAGGAGAACTTGTCTTCTTATATTATTTCAACCCACCTATTGGTTAGCGTGTACGACTCCGTGAAGCTGTGAAGTCTTCCTGTAGTTATGGTCAGTGTAGCTGCACAAAGTCGCTCGTGAGGCACGTGCTCCCTGTGGCCCTGGACTTGTGGGGGAAACGTCCAGGCTGAGAAAGCAGCCAAAAGAAGCTTGCTGACCTAAAATGATGGGCCCATGTTATGCACCTCGTCTAGAGATAGGACACTACAAAATCCAAGGGAGAAAAACAGTAGCCAAGATACCATCCTTCACGAGGCCATTTTCAGTGCTGTTTGGCCACTCAGTAAATGCTGGCAGCAACAATGCTGTGGCGCTGGGGGTGACCACATCACACAGTCCCTTGCTGCCACCTTTCGTCCCAACCCTCCCTGCAGCTTGGATGGACCAATCCAACCTCCAGCAGGAGGCCACAAGCACCAGCAACCATTAGCAATCATGCATTCATGCTATAATCTAGTTTAGGAAGCTGATTGGGTGCAGATGAACCTGTTCAGGGCTGGGTCCAGCTGCCTGAAATGGCCGCCTGCAATGTCCTTGACCACCTGTGGTGGGGCAAAGGAGAGGGGTGGAGACAGGAGGCTGCCCCATTGGACCTGCTGCCTTGCTCCGGAATGGCACTTCAGGTCCCTCTTGTGGATGCAGCTGCAAAGGCTTGAAAGGATTGTGGCCAACACCCAGCTCTCAGCCTTTTACTTGTTGCTGTATTAATTATGATGAAGCACTGGAAAAGATAATTCTTGTGGTAGTGTCAGAGAACGTGCCCACAAAGGAGAATTTCTCTTCCAGCCCAATTATTCCATTTTTTCTTTCCAAAAGCATGTTTTCCCTGCCTGGTGAACTCTGACAGTTTGCACTGACTGGAAATCACAAACCCATGGAGTTTTCCTTACGTGGGCTTGTTTTTTTTCCTCATTTTGAGCCGCAATGTTTTGCCGGAAATAAAACGCAGCGTGAGGGCCCCGTTGTGCTGCTGTCAAAGCGTGTCTATCATGAGGAGATACGAGTGACAAAGGAAGGGGTGGGCAGACTCCAGAATCCTGCAGAAGCTTCAGACCAAATACTGCTTTAACAGTGACCTTCTTGTACAAATCAGGAGTGGTGCTGAGAGCAGAGAAGAGAGATGTGGTACTTGGCTTCACTGAGGATTTTGTTCTGCCCCCTTTCTGTCTCTTCCATTGCAGCACTGACTATCTGGCTCCAGATCAGAAGAATGGGAATGTTTTGTTCCCTCATCCTTTTCCCATGTATGGTCTTGTTTGCATCAGGTAAGAAAACCTCTTTCAAGTGGTCTCCTGACATTTTTCAGGCTAAAGAGAAACAATCTCTTTATGTCACTTGAAGAAATAGATAATGGTCCAACAGAGTGATCTCATCAGTGTGTGGCCATTTGTACAACCAACCTGGGGGAAGGAGTGATCCACGTGACCTGGGCCAATGTGAACTATCAGGCCACAGCTGCTTGGAGCTCAGTGCAGGCGATGTTGCCTGTCGTCTCTGCGGGCATGCCTGCTGAGGAAGGAGAGGAATACATTTTTGGAGACAGGAATTATTGGGGAGGCAGTATAAATGCTGTCCACACCATATGGAAAAGAAGGAAGACTTGGGATTTGTTACTTGCCTTGGGGCTCAAAACAGCAAGGATCTGTTCGATGCTTTCCTCACGTACTTCCTTAGGTGGGATGTGGAGGCATGGGAAGGCAGGCGTTGGGCTTGCGAGCAGGTCCTCTTGCTAGCTCTCACCTTTCCTACTCCTCAACTTTCCATGGGGACATGAACATCAGCAGGAGGGTCACACTGAAAGGAGTGATCCTGGCTGTGATCCAGTCAGGCAGCTCGACTTTTGGATGCTCAGGGAGCTCCTTTTCCTAATGTGCAAGTAAAGAAGGAAAATGGTCTAACAAACAATGTCTTTGTTAAAGGGGTAACAGGACAGCAGAGCATCATGGATCAACAAGGTAAGAGACAACACCTACTTTGAAGTCTTTGAGGAGTAACTGCTATGGTTTTCCAGGCCTCCTGCCTCTGATGAGGTGCCTTCTATCACATGGGTACTTCTCCCCACCACCGTGGTGAAACTCTCCATTCAGAAGTGTTGTGGACATGGCCGAGACCCAAGGGAAGGGTCTGATAGGGTGAGGGATGGTTTTCCATCAGAATCCAGGGTTGGGGTTTCTGCCAATTTTCTTTGGATGTCCCTTGCACATGTTTGGGCCCACCGTCCTGGTGTCTTATTGACTCCCTATGAATCCATAATGAACTGTAGGCTTGGGATGTCCTCAGTCAGTACCAGGTCTCTTGACCATTTCCTCTCCTGCCTGATGAAGCCTGAGGGGAAGGCAGTGGCAGAACATAAGTGATGCCAGGCCTTAAAGAACAAGTGGCCCATCTGTGAGTCCTCTTTCCCCTCACCCATCTTTTTCTTTATTTATAGCTTCACAAATTATCTACAACTGCTCCAAAGGTAAACCCATGCTCAATATTTATTTGTTGTGGCTGTCTTACTGTGCTGGCTCTTCAGGCCCTGCTTGGGGAGTGAGAGGAAGGGTGAGCTCTTGCTTGATCCACCTCTTGCAGAGGTCCCTTTCAGTACCTTGGGCAGATAATTGTCTACCAGCATGGCATTGCTGGATGCTGCGTAGGGTCTAGACAGGGTGAGAGGAGGCTCTCAGGGCACCTCAGAAAGGTGAGGTTTTGGATTCTCTGGTGGAGGATTGGCTCAGCCTTTGGGTGAGCACAGTGAGCGAGTGCTGTGACTTGGCCTTGTTGGGCTTCCCTTTCCTCCACTTTATCCTGTCTCCATTGAGGTGAGCAACTCTGCTGGTGAAGGAAGGTGATGCAGGATGGCGGATAAACTCCTCATATCAGGGTGACGTACATAACCTTCTCTCCAGCTTAGTGGACTGAAATGTTCAATTTGTGAATCAAAAATGCTGTATATGCCTGCAGTCTCCTGATTTGGGGGGTCTTTTGGGAAAAAAAAAAACCTGTAATATATGATATCATTCAAAAAAAGAACTGCTGTGAAGCCACCTTAGAGACTTAATGATCTGCTTAATTCTACTTCGATGATATACTAAATACAGTTTTTTTGAAAAAATGCAGGCTGGTCTTTGCCATCCATTTTACAAACAGTTCTGGCAGTCTTAACTATCATCTTGATACTGGCAGCATTGTGGATTTTCTGGAGGAGCTATAAAAGGAAACAGAAAGGTAAGATACTAGAGGAATTCTCTTGCATTTCATAGTTCCTTCCTATCAAACAAGAACGCAGTGATCAGCTGCTGTCAACAAGGCCCATGCCCTCAAGCATTAAAGCCATCCACGGCAGACATGACAGAGGGCTGACAGCAGCCTCGTGCCCTTCTGGAACATGAGCTGGAGGCCAAGTGCAATACTCAGGGAACCCATGACATGAGGCTGAGGATGGGCTCTGACTCCCCTGCTGTCTTACACATCCTCCATCACGCTGCCACGTACATCGATTGCTCTTGCCTTTGACACGTCTCCATTTTCACAAGTATCCTCACCCAGGTTTAGGAAACCACCAGTTTTGTTGGACTGGCTACATTAAAACCACCTCTGCTTTTAGTTTTGTCCCAGAGATTTGTACAAGCTGGGCACAAATTCCCTCCAGCACAGAGCCCCTGCTCTATGCTGTGAACAGCAAATATTTTGTCTGAACTTGGAGGATCCTCAATGTACTGACAATTAGGCTTTGGTGAGTACAGCCTCAGAAAATGGACTCATCATTTCTGATCAGTTCTTTGTTCTCTCTTTCAGATGACTTTAGACTTATGGAAGAAGGTAACATGCTAAACAAATATTCTAAACATTTGTTAAAGACTGTCATGTAAAACTTACTTCTGCTGCTGCAGGTAAAAAGGAAAAAAAGAAAAAAAAAAGAAAAAAAAAAAAGAAAAAAAACCTTATTTGCAATATTTGAACTTAGATGGCACTGAGCTTCAGATGGGAAAGATGCCCCTCTGTTGTTCCCAGCTGCGCTGCTGAATGTTTTTCTAGGGCTAGAATCTGTGGGAAACTACTAGGCTCTCACTGGGTTCTACCCCAAGGATGGTGCTTCTCACACAGCAGAATACTCCGGCTGGACCATATTAGTTCCCAGCTTAAGTAGATGTCATGTGTCTTTGTCCACCATCCTGCCATTGACTTTGGCCCTTTCAGCTAGAGAAACATGAGGGACGGGGTCACACACTTGCACTAGTCCATGAACGCACTTTGCAAGAGAATCCCAGCTCCAGGAAACACCTTCTCTGGGGCTTCAGGCAATGCATCCTCCTTCTGCCCATCTAATCTGCCTTTCTCCTTTCCTTTGCAGGACAACCAAATGAGAAAATAGGTGAGTGCTGCTTGCTGTGTGGGTGGCTGCTTGTCCCTCGAGTGTCGGCTGGGAATGGGGAGTGCTCTGTGTCCCTGGGGGCAGCCTGCCTCCCTTCAAGCCTCAAACAGAGCCTGCTGCTTGCCTCCCTCTCTGCCCTGGGCCCTCCTTCCCCCACCCGACACCACTGCTCTCACTGGGGCCTTCAAATGTTATGCACAGGAGAATAGGAAATTGATCCCATCCTTCAAACCAAGCACTGCTGTGTGAAGGAGATTGACTCCAAAGTGCCCCAGGAAGTTGGTGGGGTGCCTGAGAGGCAGGACAGAGGAGTATCCTTTTGTTTAAAGGCATCCCTGATGAACCCCGTCCATAATGTTCCTTCATGCAGAATCAAAAACAAGGCCCTGATGTGCGAGCCTTCCCCAAGAACATCCAAGCAGCCCCAAAGCCTCTCTCTGCTAACGCCTGTGCCTTTTCTCTTCCAGATCATGTCCAGGAGGAAAATGGTAAATTCTCTTGTCTTCCTAAGAAATCCCCTTCCCCAAGGAGATGTTTCTTGCAAGAGGCAGCCTGTGGTGTCCGTGGGTCTCTGCAGAGGGAGGGCAGAAGAGCCTCCATTCTTCAGACGGCCATCGCAGGCAAATGCAAACGCCTTTCTTTTCTTTCCTGTGTTCTTTGTCGTTACAGAGCCACTGCAGGGAGAAAAAAGTAAGTGACCTTTCCCTTTCTGACGCGGCTGAGAACACACTCAGCTGCTGAGATGTCTTTCAAATGTGGAATCAGCTCAGAAAAGATTCCTGATCCCACCGCCTTGTGCAGGGGAAGGTCCTGTGATGTTAAGGAATGCTTTGAAAGAGCTGAGGGAATGATGTGCAGGGATGTGGCAGAGTCATTGTTTGTGAGCACCTTCCTGTTTTCCGGGGACAGGGCTTGCCCTCAGCACACACTTGCACTAGTCCATGAATGAATTTTTTAAGAGAATCCCAGCTCCAGCAAACACCTTCTCTGGGGCTTCAGGCAATGCATCTTCCTTCTTCCCATCTAATCTGCCTTTCTCCTTTCCTTTGCAGAACAACTGAATGAGAAGATAGGTGAGTGCTGCTTGCTGTGTGGGTGGCTGCTTGTCCCTCGAGTGCCGGCTGGGAATGGGGAGTGCTCTGTGTCCCTGGGCGCAGCCTGCCTCCCTTCAAGCCTCAAACAGAGCCTGCTGCTTGCCTCCCTCTCTGCCCTGGGCCCTCCTTCCCCCACCCGACACCACTGCTCTCACTGGGGCCTTCAAATGTTATGCACAGGAGAATAGGAAATTGATCCCATCCTTCAAACCAAGCACTGCTGTGTGAAGGAGATTGACTCCAAAGTGCCCCAGGAAGTTGGTGGGGTGCCTGAGAGGCAGGACAGAGGAGTATCCTTTTGTTTAAAGGCATCCCTGATGAACCCCGTCCATAATGTTCCTTCATGCAGAATCAAAAACAAGGCCCTGATGTGCGAGCCTTCCCCAAGAACATCCAAGCAGCCCCAAAGCCTCTCTCTGCTAACGCCTGTGCCTTTTCTCTTCCAGATCATGTCCAGGAGGAAAATGGTAAATTCTCTTGTCTTCCTAAGAAATCCCCTTCCCCAAGGAGATGTTTCTTGCAAGAGGCAGCCTGTGGTGTCCGTGGGTCTCTGCAGAGGGAGGGCAGAAGAGCCTCCATTCTTCAGACGGCCATCGCAGGCAAATGCAAACGCCTTTCTTTTCTTTCCTGTGTTCTTTGTCGTTACAGAGCCACTGCAGGGAGAAAAAAGTAAGTGACCTTTCCCTAAGAAATCCCCTTCCCCAAGGAGATGTTTCTTGCAAGAGGCAGCCTGTGGTGTCCGTGGGTCTCTGCAGAGGGAGGGCAGAAGAGCCTCCATTCTTCAGACGGCCATCGCAGGCAAATGCAAACGCCTTTCTTTTCTTTCCTGTGTTCTTTGTCGTTACAGAGCCACTGCAGGGAGAAAAAAGTAAGTGACCTTTCCCTTTCTGACGCGGCTGAGAACACACTCAGCTGCTGAGATGTCTTTCAAATGTGGAATCAGCTCAGAAAAGATTCCTGATCCCACCGCCTTGTGCAGGGGAAGGTCCTGTGATGTTAAGGAATGCTTTGAAAGAGCTGAGGGAATGATGTGCAGGGATGTGGCAGAGTCATTGTTTGTGAGCACCTTCCTGTTTTCCGGGGACAGGGCTTGCCCTCAGCACACACTTGCACTAGTCCATGAATGAATTTTTTAAGAGAATCCCAGCTCCAGCAAACACCTTCTCTGGGGCTTCAGGCAATGCATCTTCCTTCTTCCCATCTAATCTGCCTTTCTCCTTTCCTTTGCAGAACAACTGAATGAGAAGATAGGTGAGTGCTGCTTGCTGTGTGGGTGGCTGCTTGTCCCTCGAGTGCCGGCTGGGAATGGGGAGTGCTCTGTGTCCCTGGGCGCAGCCTGCCTCCCTTCAAGCCTCAAACAGAGCCTGCTGCTTGCCTCCCTCTCTGCCCTGGGCCCTCCTTCCCCCACCTGACACCACTGCTCTCACGTGGGGCCTTCAACAGGAAAGCCCCGGGAGAAGTCATGGGCCCTCGTAAGGGGTCTCGTCCTTCCAAGTGGGAGTCCACACTTGCCAAGGGAAACGTTCCCCATGGGAAAAGATTGTTGTGGAAAAGAAAGGCTGTGGTGTCCATGGGCCTCTGCAGAGGGAGGGCAGGAGGGCCTCCATTCTTCAGATGGGCATCCCTGGCAAATGCAAACGCCTTCCCTTTCTTTCCTGTGGTCTTTGTCATTACAGAGCGACTGGAGGGAGAAAACAGTAAGTGACCTTTCCTTTCTGAAGCTGCCGAGAACACACTCAGCTGCTGGGATGTCTTTCAAGTATGGACTCAGCTCAGGAAAGCTTCCTGACCCCACCGCCGTGTGCAGGGGAAGGTCCTGTGACGTTAAGGAAGGTTTTCTAAGAGCTGAGGGAAGGATGTGCAGGGATGTGGCTTGGTCCATGGCTGCATGGAGAGTCCTGCACTCTCAGGCTCACAGGAGAGGCGGTGGGAAGGGAGCTCGTGTGATGGCCAGTGTGACATTGGGTATGACCTGGAACGTTAAGGAGCAATGCCTGATGTTTCACTGAATTTCACTGAATTTTTTAGAGTTGGAAGGGACCATAGAGATCATCTAGTCCAACTCCCCTGCTAAAGCAGGATTGCCTAGAGCTTGTCACAGCATGTTACTCAGGAGCATCCAGGCGGGTCTTGAAAATCTCCAAAGAAGGGGACTCCACAACCTCCCTGGGCAGCCTGTTCCAGGGCTCTGTCACCCTCATTGTGAAGAAGTTTTTCCTCATATTTGAGTAGAACCTCTTATGTTCCAACTTGTGCCCGTTCCCCCTCATCTTTCATGGGGAATCACTGTTCCACCTGGGCACAGGCAACCCAGGACCGGGGACCTCCAAGGGCTGTGTCTCTCCCAGCACAGGTGTCTCTCCAAAGGGTGGCTGTGTCTCGCTGCTCCCTAAAGATGGATTTCAGCCTTGTCTAGGTTATTGTCATGCCAGTGTGTAGCCTCTCCCTTCACAGCTGCATTTTCAGGCAATGTTTCCCCAGGCAGAGTCTCCTGCCATCTACCAATCATTCTCACCATCCTCCTGGGCTCGGCCCTTCCTAAAGCTACAGGCTCCTTGGAGATACTTCCTCCCTCTCCTCTTGACAACCTGGAAGGAGCCCCTGGCCTCTCCGGATAGTGCAGGAAGAAGAGACCTGCACTCTCCTGCAAAGATGGGGAGCTCTCCCCTAATGCCTCTCCAATGTCTCACTATCTCCTCTAAACTTGACAGCCCAAACCTGAGGATTCAATGCCAGCTGTGGCCTCCAAATCTCTCTGTATTTGTCACCTGGCCATGCTTCTAGGCTTTCCTGTAGCACTTGGCCTTGCAGCTTCTTTGAGTCCATGCTGGGCAGATGCCATCCAGTCCACATTTAGCAGAGCCCTTTCCTACAAGTAACCATGAAGTCAGGCAAGGGAAAGGCAGACGCAGCCAAACCCCAACAGCTCTGGATGCCGGCAGGGCACTGAGCCTGACAATCTCTCTTTTCTAATTGTTTTTTTCTCCTTCCTTTTGTAGCTGAGGAGCAGAAGGAGAAGGATGAGTGCTCTGTGCTCTCTGGGGTCTTGCCAGCCAGCAAGGAGAGGCTTTTTCCAAGAGGGACATGGTGGTGTGTGTGGGAGAAGGGTGTTTCCTTGTGGGCCATGAGTGTGGTGTCCTTGGGGTCTCTGCAGGAGGTGCCCATGTGCAGGCAAGCCAGCTGAGGCCTTCAGGTGTGGCTGGAATCTGCATAAAGGGCTTGGTCCTGAAAAACGGGTCATGTGGGAAGAAAAGTCAAACTGTGAGGAAGAACGGAGGGAGGAAAGAAAGCAGGAAAGACTGACCAGTGTGGTTGCATAAACATGATTTTCTGTGAGGACAGAGTCATTGTTTGTGAGCACCTTCATGTTGTCCAGGGACAGGGCTTGCCCTCAGCACACACTTGCACTAGTCCATGAATGCACTTGGCAAGAGACTCCCAGCTCCAGAAAACACCTTCCCTGGGGCTTCAGGCAATGCATCCTCCTCCTGCCCATCTAATCTGCCTTTCTCCTTTCCTTTGCAGAACTACTGAATGAGAAGATAGGTGAGTGCTGCTTGCTGTATGGGTGGCTGCTTGTCCCTCGAGTGCCGGCTGGGAATGGGGAGTGCTCTGTGTCCCTGGTGCAGCCTGCCTCCCTTCAAGCCTCAAACAGAGCCTGCTGCTTGCCTCCCTCTCTGCCCTGGGCCCTCCTTCCCCCACCTGACACCACTGCTCTCACTTGGGGCCTTCAACAGGAAAGCCCGGGGAGAAGTCATGGGCCCTTGTAAGGGGTCTCGTCCTTCAAAGTGGGAGTCCGCAGTTGCCAAGGGAAATGTTCCCCATGGGAAAAAATTGTTGTGAAAAACAGAGGCTGTGGTGTCCATGGGCCTCTGCAGAGGGAGGGCAGGAGGGCCTCCATTCCTCAGATGGGCATCCCAGGCAAATGCAAGCGCCTTCCTTTCCTTTCCTGTGTTCTTGGTCTGTACCGAGCCAGTGCAGGGAGAAAACAGTAAGTGGCCTTTCCTTTCTGACGTGGCTGAGAAGACACTCAGCTGCTGAGATGTCTTTCGAGCATGGACTCAGCTCAGGAAAGCTTCCTGACCCCACCGCCTTGTGCAGGGGAAGCTCCTGTGACGTTCAGGAATGCTTTGTAAGAGCTGAGGGAATGATGTGCAGGGATGTGGCTTGGTCCATGGCTGCATGGAGAGTCCTGCCCTCTCAGGCTCACAGAAAAGGCTGAGGGAAGGGAGCTCGCGTGATGGCCAGTGTGACATTGGGTATGAGCTAAAACGTTTAGGAGCAATGCCTGCTGTTCCACCTGGGCACAGGCAACCCAGGACCGGGGACCTCCAAGGGCTGTGTCTCTCCCAGCACAGGTGTCTCTCCAAAGGGTGGCTGTGCCTCGCTGCTCTCTGAAGATGGATTTCAGCCTTGTCTAGGCTATTGTTACGCCAGTGTGTAGCCTCTCCCTTCACAGCTGCATTTTCAGGCAATGTTTCCCCAGGCAGAGTCTCCTGCCATCTACCAATCATTCTCACCATCCTCCTGGGCTCGGCCCTTCCTGGTGCTACAGGCTCCTTGGAGGTAGTTCCTTCCTCTCCTCTTGACAACCTGGAAGGAGCCCCTGGCCTCTCCGGATAGTGCAGGAAGAAGAGACCTGCACTCTCCTGCAAAGTTGGGGAGCTCTCCCCTAATGCCTCTCCAAAGTCTCACTACCTCCTCTAAACTTGACAGCCCAAACCTGAGGATTCAATGCCAGCTGTGGCCTCCAAATCTCTCTCCATCTGTCACCTGGCCATGCTTCTAGACTTCCCTGTAGCACTTGGCCTTGCAGCTGCTTTGAGTCCATGCTGGGCAGATGCCATCCAGTCCACATTTAGCAGAGCCCTTTCCTGCAACTAACCATGAAGTCAGGCAAAGGAAAGGCAGACGCAGCCAAACGCCAACAGCTCTGGATGCCGGCGGGGCACTGAGCCTGACAATCTCTCTTTTCTAATTGTTTTCTTTTCTCCTTCCTTTTGTAGCTGAGGAGCAGAAGGAGAAGGATGAGTGTTCTGTGCTCTCTGGGGTCTTGCCAGTCAGGAAGGAGAGGCTTTTTCCAAGAGGGACATGGTGGTGTGTGTGGGAGAAGGGTGTTTCCTTGTGGGCCATGAGTGTGGTGTCCTTGGGGTCTCTGCAGCAGGTGCCCATGTTCAGACAAGCTCGCTGAGGCCTTCAGGTGTGGCTGGCATCTGCATAAAGGGCTTAGTCCTGAAAAAATGGTCATGTGGGAAGAAAAGACAAAATGTGAGGAAGAACGGAGGGAGGAAAGAAAGCAGGAAAGACTGAGCAGTGGGGTTGCATAAACATGATTTTCTGTGAGGACAGAGGCATTGTTTGTGAGCACCTTCAAGGTTTCCGGGAAGAGGGCTTGCCCTCAGCACACACTTGCACTAGTCCATGAATGCACTTTGCAAGAGAGTCCCAGCTCCAGCAAACACATTCCCTGGGGCTTCAGGCAATGCATCTTCCTTCTGCCCATCTCATCTGCCTTTCTCCTTTCCTTTGCAGAACAACAGAAAGAGACAATAGGTGAGTGCTGCTTGCTGTGTGGGTGGCTGCTTGTCCCTCGAGTGCCAGCTGGGAACGGGGAGTGCTCTGTGTCCCTGGGTGGAGCCTGCCTCCCTTCAAGCCTCAAACAGAGACTGCTGCTTGCCTCCCTCTCTGCCCTGGGCCCTCCTTCCCCCACGGTGCCTTCAACAGGAAAGCCCCGGGAGAAGTCATGGGCCCTCGTAAGGGGTCTCGTCCTTCCAAGTGGGAGTCCACAGTTGCCAAGGGGAACGTTCCCCATGGGAAAAGATTGTTGTGGAAAAGAGAGGTTGTGGTGTCCATGGGCCTCTGCAGAGGGAGGGCAGGAGGGCCTCCATTCTTCAGATGGGCATCCCAGGCAAATGCAAACGCCTTCCCTTTCTTTCCTGTGGTCTTGGTCTGTACTGAGCCACTGCAGGGAGAAAAGAGTAAGTGGCCTTTCCTTTCTGACGCGGCTGAGAACATGCTCAGTTGCTGAGATGTCTTTCAAGTATGGACTCAGCTCAGGAAAGCTTCCTGACCCCACCGCCTTGTGCAGGGGAAGCTTCTGTGCTGTTAAGGAATGTTTTGTAAGAGCCGAGGGAAGGATGTGCAGGGATGTGGCTTGGTCCATGGCTGCATGGAGAGTCCTGCCCTCTCAGGCTCACAGAAAAGGCTGAGGGAAGGGAGCTCGCGTGATGGCCAGTGTGACATTGGGTATGAGCTAAAACGTTTAGGAGCAATGCCTGCTGTTCCACCTGGGCACAGGCAACCCAGGACCGGGGACCTCCAAGGGCTGTGTCTCTCCCAGCACAGGTGTCTCTCCAAAGGGTGGCTGTGCCTCGCTGCTCTCTGAAGATGGATTTCAGCCTTGTCTAGGCTATTGTTACGCCAGTGTGTAGCCTCTCCCTTCACAGCTGCATTTTCAGGCAATGTTTCCCCAGGCAGAGTCTCCTGCCATCTACCAATCATTCTCACCATCCTCCCGGGATCGGCCCTTCCTGGAGCTACAGGCTCCTTGGAGGTAGTTCCTTCCTCTCCTCTTGACAACCTGGAAGGAGCCCCTGGCCTCTCCGGATAGTGCAGGAAGAAGAGACCTGCACTCTCCTGCAAAGTTGGGGAGCTCTCCCCTAATGCCTCTCCAAAGTCTCACTACCTCCTCTAAACTTGACAGCCCAAACCTGAGGATTCAATGCCAGCTGCGGCCTCCAAATCTCTCTCCATCTGTCACCTGGCCATGCTTCTAGACTTTCCTGTAGCACTTGGCCTTGCAGCTTCTTTGAGCCCATGCTGGGCAGATGCCAACCTGTCCTCCTTTGGCAGAGACCTTTCCTGCAAGTAACCGGGACGTCAGGCAAAGGAAAGGCAGACGCAGCCAAACCCCAACAGCTCTGGAAGCCGGCAGGGCACTGAGCCTGACAATTGCTCTTTTCTAATTGTTTTTTTCTCCTTCCTTTTGTAGCTGAGGAGCAGAAGGAGAAGGATGAGTGTTCTGTGCTCTCTGGGGTCTTGCCAGCCAGCAAGGAGAGGCTCTTTCTGAGAGGGACATGGTGGTGTGTGTGGGAGAAGGGTGTTTCCTTGTGAGCCATGAGTGTGGTGTCCTTGGGGTCTCTGCAGGAGGTGCCCATGTGCAGGCAAGCCAGCTGAGGCCTTCAGGTGTGGCTGGAATCTGCATAAAGGGCTTGGTCCTGAAAAACTGGTCATGTGGGAAGAAAAGTCAAACTGTGAGGAAGAACGGAAGGAGGAAAGAAAGCAGGAAAGACTGACCAGTGGGGTTGCATAAACATGATTTTCTGTGAGGACAGAGTCATTGTTTGTGAGCACCTTCATGTTGTCCAGGGACAGGGCTTGCCCTCAGCACACACTTGCACTAGTCCATGAATGCACTTGGCAAGAGACTCCCAGCTCCAGAAAACACCTTCCCTGGGGCTTCAGGCAATGCATCCTCCTCCTGCCCATCTAATCTGCCTTTCTCCTTTCCTTTGCAGAACTACTGAATGAGAAGATAGGTGAGTGCTGCTTGCTGTATGGGTGGCTGCTTGTCCCTCGAGTGCCGGCTGGGAATGGGGAGTGCTCTGTGTCCCTGGTGCAGCCTGCCTCCCTTCAAGCCTCAAACAGAGCCTGCTGCTTGCCTCCCTCTCTGCCCTGGGCCCTCCTTTCCCCTCCTGACACCACTGCTCTCACATGGTGCCTTCAACAGGAAAGCCTGGGGAGAAGTCATGGGCCCTCGTAAGGGGTCTCGTCCTTCCAAGTGGGAGTCCACAGTTGCCAAGGGAAATGTTCCCCATGGGAAAAGATTGTTGTGGAAAACAGAGGCTGTGGTGTCCATGGGCCTCTGCAGAGGGAGGGCAGGAGGGCCTCCATTCCTCAGATGGGCATCCCAGGCAAATGCAAGCGCCTTCCTTTCCTTTCCTGTGTTCTTGGTCTGTACCGAGCCAGTGCAGGGAGAAAACAGTAAGTGGCCTTTCCTTTCTGACACGGCTGAGAAGACACTCAGCTGCTGAGATGTCTTTCGAGCATGGACTCAGCTCAGGAAAGCTTCCTGACCCCACCGCCTTGTGCAGGGGAAGCTCCTGTGACGTTCAGGAATGCTTTGTAAGAGCTGAGGGAATGATGTGCAGGGATGTGGCTTGGTCCTTGGCTGCATGGAGAGTCCTGCCCTCTCAGGCTCACAGGAGAGGCAGTGGGCAGGGAGCTCGCGTGATGGCCAGTGTGACATTGGGTATGATCTGGCACGTTTAGGAGCAATGCCTGCTGTTCCACCTGGGCACAGGCAACCCAGGACCGGGGACCTCCAAGGGCTGTGTCTCTCCCAGCTCAGGTGTCTCTCCAAAGGGTGCCTGTGCCTCGCTGCTCTCTGAAGCTGGATTTAACTTTTGTCTAGGACATTGTCAAGCATATGTGTAGCCTCGCCCTTCACAGCTGCATTTTAAGGCAATGTTTCCCCAAGCAGAGTCTCCTGCCATCTACTGATCATTCTCATCATCCTCCTGGGCTCGGCCCTTCCTGGAGCTACAGGCTCCTTGGAGATAGTTCCTTCCTCTCCTCTTGACAACCTGGAAGGAGCCCCTGGCCTCTCCAGATAGGGCAGGAAGGAGACCTGCACTCTCCTGCAAAGATGGGGAGCTCTCCCCTAATGTAAGGGGTCTCGTCCTTCCAAGTGGGAGTCCGCAGTTGCCAAGGGAAATGTTCCCCATGGGAAAAGATTGTTGTGGAAAACAGAGGCTGTGGTGTCCATGGGCCTCTGCAGAGGGAGGGCAGGAGGGCCTCCATTCCTCAGATGGGCATCCCAGGCAAATGCAAGCGCCTTCCTTTCCTTTCCTGTGTTCTTGGTCTGTACCGAGCCAGTGCAGGGAGAAAACAGTAAGTGGCCTTTCCTTTCTGACGTGGCTGAGAAGACACTCAGCTGCTGAGATGTCTTTCGAGCATGGACTCAGCTCAGGAAAGCTTCCTGACCCCACCGCCTTGTGCAGGGGAAGCTCCTGTGACGTTCAGGAATGCTTTGTAAGAGCTGAGGGAATGATGTGCAGGGATGTGGCTTGGTCCATGGCTGCATGGAGAGTCCTGCCCTCTCAGGCTCACAGAAAAGGCTGAGGGAAGGGAGCTCGCGTGATGGCCAGTGTGACATTGGGTATGAGCTAAAACGTTTAGGAGCAATGCCTGCTGTTCCACCTGGGCACAGGCAACCCAGGACCGGGGACCTCCAAGGGCTGTGTCTCTCCCAGCACAGGTGTCTCTCCAAAGGGTGGCTGTGCCTCGCTGCTCTCTGAAGATGGATTTCAGCCTTGTCTAGGCTATTGTTACGCCAGTGTGTAGCCTCTCCCTTCACAGCTGCATTTTCAGGCAATGTTTCCCCAGGCAGAGTCTCCTGCCATCTACCAATCATTCTCACCATCCTCCCGGGATCGGCCCTTCCTGGAGCTACAGGCTCCTTGGAGGTAGTTCCTTCCTCTCCTCTTGACAACCTGGAAGGAGCCCCTGGCCTCTCCGGATAGTGCAGGAAGAAGAGACCTGCACTCTCCTGCAAAGTTGGGGAGCTCTCCCCTAATGCCTCTCCAAAGTCTCACTACCTCCTCTAAACTTGACAGCCCAAACCTGAGGATTCAATGCCAGCTGCGGCCTCCAAATCTCTCTCCATCTGTCACCTGGCCATGCTTCTAGACTTTCCTGTAGCACTTGGCCTTGCAGCTTCTTTGAGCCCATGCTGGGCAGATGCCAACCTGTCCTCCTTTGGCAGAGACCTTTCCTGCAAGTAACCGGGACGTCAGGCAAAGGAAAGGCAGACGCAGCCAAACCCCAACAGCTCTGGAAGCCGGCAGGGCACTGAGCCTGACAATTGCTCTTTTCTAATTGTTTTTTTCTCCTTCCTTTTGTAGCTGAGGAGCAGAAGGAGAAGGATGAGTGTTCTGTGCTCTCTGGGGTCTTGCCAGCCAGCAAGGAGAGGCTCTTTCTGAGAGGGACATGGTGGTGTGTGTGGGAGAAGGGTGTTTCCTTGTGAGCCATGAGTGTGGTGTCCTTGGGGTCTCTGCAGGAGGTGCCCATGTGCAGGCAAGCCAGCTGAGGCCTTCAGGTGTGGCTGGAATCTGCATAAAGGGCTTGGTCCTGAAAAACTGGTCATGTGGGAAGAAAAGTCAAACTGTGAGGAAGAACGGAAGGAGGAAAGAAAGCAGGAAAGACTGACCAGTGGGGTTGCATAAACATGATTTTCTGTGAGGACAGAGTCATTGTTTGTGAGCACCTTCATGTTGTCCAGGGACAGGGCTTGCCCTCAGCACACACTTGCACTAGTCCATGAATGCACTTGGCAAGAGACTCCCAGCTCCAGAAAACACCTTCCCTGGGGCTTCAGGCAATGCATCCTCCTCCTGCCCATCTAATCTGCCTTTCTCCTTTCCTTTGCAGAACTACTGAATGAGAAGATAGGTGAGTGCTGCTTGCTGTATGGGTGGCTGCTTGTCCCTCGAGTGCCGGCTGGGAATGGGGAGTGCTCTGTGTCCCTGGTGCAGCCTGCCTCCCTTCAAGCCTCAAACAGAGCCTGCTGCTTGCCTCCCTCTCTGCCCTGGGCCCTCCTTTCCCCTCCTGACACCACTGCTCTCACATGGTGCCTTCAACAGGAAAGCCTGGGGAGAAGTCATGGGCCCTCGTAAGGGGTCTCGTCCTTCCAAGTGGGAGTCCACAGTTGCCAAGGGAAATGTTCCCCATGGGAAAAGATTGTTGTGGAAAACAGAGGCTGTGGTGTCCATGGGCCTCTGCAGAGGGAGGGCAGGAGGGCCTCCATTCCTCAGATGGGCATCCCAGGCAAATGCAAGCGCCTTCCTTTCCTTTCCTGTGTTCTTGGTCTGTACCGAGCCAGTGCAGGGAGAAAACAGTAAGTGGCCTTTCCTTTCTGACACGGCTGAGAAGACACTCAGCTGCTGAGATGTCTTTCGAGCATGGACTCAGCTCAGGAAAGCTTCCTGACCCCACCGCCTTGTGCAGGGGAAGCTCCTGTGACGTTCAGGAATGCTTTGTAAGAGCTGAGGGAATGATGTGCAGGGATGTGGCTTGGTCCTTGGCTGCATGGAGAGTCCTGCCCTCTCAGGCTCACAGGAGAGGCAGTGGGCAGGGAGCTCGCGTGATGGCCAGTGTGACATTGGGTATGATCTGGCACGTTTAGGAGCAATGCCTGCTGTTCCACCTGGGCACAGGCAACCCAGGACCGGGGACCTCCAAGGGCTGTGTCTCTCCCAGCTCAGGTGTCTCTCCAAAGGGTGCCTGTGCCTCGCTGCTCTCTGAAGCTGGATTTAACTTTTGTCTAGGACATTGTCAAGCATATGTGTAGCCTCGCCCTTCACAGCTGCATTTTAAGGCAATGTTTCCCCAAGCAGAGTCTCCTGCCATCTACTGATCATTCTCATCATCCTCCTGGGCTCGGCCCTTCCTGGAGCTACAGGCTCCTTGGAGATAGTTCCTTCCTCTCCTCTTGACAACCTGGAAGGAGCCCCTGGCCTCTCCAGATAGGGCAGGAAGGAGACCTGCACTCTCCTGCAAAGATGGGGAGCTCTCCCCTAATGCCTCTCCAAAGTCTCACTATCTCCTCTAAACTTGACAGCCCAAACCTGAGGATTCAGTTCCAGGTGTGGCCTCCAAATCTCTCTCCATCTGTCACCTGGCCATGCTTCTAGACTTTCCTGTAGCACTTGGCCTTGCAGCTGCTTTGAGCCCATGCTGGGCAGATGCCAACCTGTCCTCCTTTGGCAGAGACCTTTCCTGCAAGTAACCGGGACGTCAGGCAAAGGAAAGGCAGACGCAGCCAAACCCCACCAGCTCTGGAAGCCAGGGGGGCACTGAGCCTGACAATCTCTCTTTTCTAATTGTTTCCTTTTCCTTCCTTTTGTAGCTGAGGAGAAAGAGAAGAATGGTGAGTGGTCTGTGCTCTCTGGGGTCTTGCCAGCCAGCAAGGAGAGGCTCTTTCTGAGAGGGACATGGTGGTGTGTGTGGGAGAAGGGTGTTTCCTTGTGGGCCATGAGTGTGGTGTCCTTGGGGTCTCTGCAGCAGGTGCCCATGTGCAGGCAAGCCAGCTGAGGCCTTCAGGTGTGGCTGGAATCTGCATAAAGGGCTTGGTCCTGAAAAAATGGTCATGTGGGAATAAAAGACAAAATGTGAGGAAGAACGGAGGGAGGAAAGAAAACAGGAAAGACTGAGCAGTGGGGTGGATAAGCATAATTTTCCGTGAGGACAGAGTCATGGTTTGTGAGCACCTTCATGTTTTCTGGGGACAGGGCTTGCCCTCAGCACACACTTGCACTAGTCCATGAATGCACTTTGTAAGAGACTCCCAGCTCCAGAAAACACCTTCCCTGGGGCTTCAGGCAATGCATCCTCCTCCTGCCCATCTAATCTGCCTTTCTCCTTTCCTTTGCAGCACAACTGAATGAGAAGATAGGTGAGTGCTGCTTGTTGAGTGGGTGGCTGCAAGTTTTTAGACTTTTTCATGGGAATGGGGAGTGCTCCTTGTTCCTGTGCTTATCCCTTCTCCCTGCCAGCAAGAGTCACAGCCTGCTACTTTCCTCCCTCTCTCTCCCTTTCCCACTTTCTTTTTCCTGGGCCCAGTGGCCTTGCCTGTTGCCTTCAATGGGAACAGATAGGCAGAAATTATGGATTTTGGTGTGCGGGCCCACACTTCAAAGTGGGATTCCACCCTTGCCAGGTGGTATGTTCCCCCTATGTCTAGTCTTACCCTCTCCAGCTCTGTTTCACGGCCTGTAGTGACCATGGGTTTTTTTTTGGTTGGTTTTTTTTTTTTTTTTGAGAGAGAGCAGAAGAGCATCCCAGCATCCCTATTTTATGGTTGTCTTCTACAAATGCCTATGATTCTGATTCTGGTTTTAATCTCTCTTCTCTTTGTCATTACATACCAATCAGTAACAGTAAAGAGTAAGTGACATTGTCTTCCTCAGCTCAGCAAAGTGCTTTCACATCACTCCGTTTTCTTGGAAAACATCATGTCATGTAAAGGAACACCTTTGTCCCAGAGACATAATTAGGCCACAGGGATAGGATTTAGGCCTTGGGATAAATTCTGGACTGGAAGGAATCCATTCCCTGAAAACATACAGGAATGGCATTATGAAGCAGTTTTGCAGTGAGGTATTGTGACGTGTCTGGAAGACACTGGGATTTTCCCTTTCATGACAGCTATAAGATACCTCTGTACACTTGAAGTCTTTGGCCTTTCCGCTCTCTTTGCTATGAGGGACCATGTCCTCTTTCCTCTCTGTGTTATGGTGTGGTTAAAATGCTTCTCTGAGACCCATCACTCAAGTGCCCCACTGGCTTTTCCTCTTCAGAGGATGAGACAGGCTTAGGATGTGCTTTCTGACCTGTACAAAAGACTTGCTACAGCAGATGAGCATGTTCCTCTGCCGGCCTCATAGACTGTGTGTGAGGTCACTAAAGCCGTGTTGTTAAAACCACTCAATGTCTCCTTTTTTTGTCTTCCTAAAGAATTCCTGAAGAAACAGCGACACAAAGGTAAGAAAGGAACCCTTGGTGAATCTCCTGCAGCCTGAATGCAGTTCTGGAAAACACATTCCTCCTTCACAAGCAACGGTTGTTCAGATCCTTGTTCTGATGGTTTCTGAAGAACAAGAATTCTTCCTTGTTCTTTCTCTTCTTCATTTGCTGCACAAGAAACTTCACCATTTGAAGGCAAACTTCACACCCTCTGCTCACCTCCCTTACAATCTGCCCTGATGCTACATGACATTTTAGAGGGGGTGTCTTTGAGTTGCTTTGCTTTTGGTGTGTGCTGACCACACTCTCAGCGTTCCATAGCAGAGAGATGAGGAGACGGGAGATTTGGGACACCAGAAGCTAGAGGTATCTGGGGAAAATTGACCGCATCAGAGGGGAGAACAAGGGATGGGAAGGGAACCAGTGGGAGGGAAAACATAACCGGAAGTTCCAGAAAGCTTATCATGATGCTTTTGACTACTGAAATGACTTGATCATTTCAGTGGATGTCACTCTGGATCCTGACACGGCCCACCCCAGATTGGAAATTTCTGATGATGGGAAGAGTGTGAAAGATACCGGCACCATCAGGAATGTGCCCAAGAATGAGAAGAGATTTGATTCCCACCTTTATTTGTTGGCAAAGGAAGGATACACATCTGGGAGACACTACTGGGAAGTGGATGTTGGCAAGAGAAGCAGCTGGGCCTTGGGTATTGCCTGCGCATCTGTGACTCGCAAAGGGACATTGACTCTGTCCCCCAAGAATGGCTTCTGGGTTATGGGGTGTACAGACGGGCGAGAGTATTGGGCCTACACAGAGCCTTGGACCCGTTTGAGTGTGGGTGGGAAGCTGCCAAAGATTGGGATCTTCCTGGACATCTCATCCAATCAGCTGTCATTTTACGATGTCCATAAGAAAGAAGCTCTGTACACTTTCAACGTGGGAGATGAGAGCAGCCAGAAAGAGAGGTTTTTTCCCTTCTTCTCAACAGGCCCAGCTACTGCAAAGCCTGATGAGGAGCCTCTGAAAATAGTGTGGGTGTTTGATGATGAGTGAATTGATGAAATGAGTATGCATGGTCAATATCTGACTGAAACACAGAGATCACACTGGACTCTTATCAGACCCCTGCTTCTTTTTTGCCACCAAATCAAAGTCGAATGGTTCTTTTGTATAAGGAGCTTCCACCACTGCTTCCTAGTCCTTCTGTGAGCTAGTCAAGAAAGAGAAAACCTAGACTTCAGGCCACTAGTCACTGTGCAGACCTCCAGTTCTTCCAAGAACTCAGAGAAAGGATCCTCATTGCAGGAAGGGAAAACAGTCATGGGTTTTGTGTTCAGAAGCTTACCTCAGGTGTCAACATGAGATTGAGAAGATATTCTGTGCCAGTCACTGAAGATCCTAGTTAATGTTCATGGCAAGTTTGTGCAGAAGTGGATCACGGTTCTCAGATGGGAAAGCTTTCTGATGAGTTTAAACAACCTTTCCCAAGATACCTCCCACTTCTGTTTCTCAGTGTTCAGCACCCGTCACTGGTCCTTCTTTGTCAGTTGGAAGAAGCAGGTGCCTTCTAGGGGCAACATGCCTGAGTTGTCATCAGTGTTGCTTTTGGAATTGCAGCAAGCCTTTTCATTTGGAAAGTGTCTCAAATCCACTCCTGTCCTCCTGGTTTTAGTATACATTCTGAAGGATTTTCAGGAAGATGTTTAGAGCATGAATATCTACTCTTGAGAGTGGTGACAGAGCAGACATGTGACAATCAAGGAAGCTGAGCTTTCCATGTCAAGGAGTTTGCTGTCAAACTCTCCTGCCTGTCCTGCCATTTCTGGATCCATGTAGTCAGCAAACACCTTTTCTATCCTCATTGAGTCACCACTGGGCACTGAACCAAGGTCCTGGCAATTCAAGCTAAACCACATCATGGACCATTGAGAGGGAAACCAAGCAAGACAGCAGGAACTCTGCTATCCTTAAGAACTCTGTCATTTTACAATGCCCACACAGAATCTGTCTTGTACAGTTTGGAGAACAGACTCTGGCAGAATGAGAATGTCTTTCTCTTCATGGGAACCAGGATGGCCTTGGATTACAAGTTCTAGTAAACCTCATCAATATCAAATACTGTCAAGGAAAGCTAATTGGATTGGAAAGGCTTTTGCAGGTAGTGACAAACAATTTGACTTTTGTTTCAAGGCAGTCGCAGCCTGAGGTATCCTCTGGCTGAGGATGGCAGTAACGTTGGACTCAATGGTCAACGCTTGGACTTCATGATCTTAAGGGTCTTTTCCAACCTGAAGGATTCTTTGATTCTAGAAGCAGCTGGATGTTCCAGTGCAGAGACATCAGGCCATGTATCATGTCTTGCTCTTCTTTCACATTTTGCTATTGTACCAATCCAACTAAAATCATTTTGGTATGTAATTCATATAATCAGGATTTTAAGTAGAAATAAATCTTGGGGGTTTTTTGTTTGATGAATTTTCCACTATTTTATTCTTTTTTATATTTATTCTTTTTTAAGCTCAATAATGTGTTGGGGTGAGTGTAAGTCTTGTGCAGGTGAGAAAGAAGAGCAGCGGCCAACTCCATTGACTTCAGTGAACCTCACCAGAGTGCAGGTTCTGGTTGGTCAGAGTTTCCATCCCCTTACCATATACGGCACGTAACTCTGGGATACTAAGGATACTCAGGTTACTCAGTGATCACTGTACCAGGAATATGTGGGAGCCACCGGGATGAGTCCCGTCTGCGCTGTGTCTTTGCAGGAGGAGTTTGAAGACAGTCCATCAAAACTGGTACTGGAGACCAGTGTGTAAACCTACACAATTGTATTGTCTCACTGAAACATGAAGGTCATTTGTGGCTCTACAGATTCCCACTGAAATCCGAAAGATGTGTAGGAGTTTGGCACACCAACTTTTTTGAATTGATGACAAGCTTTGTGCTATGGCCCGCTACTCTAACACCAAATTGTGTTGGTCTGTGCCCTGAATCCTACCCTGAGATTGAAAGGGCAGGCTCTTCTGAACTCAAGAGAGAAGTGGCCTTCTTAGAACCAAGTGACACAAACAAAGGAAGGTATTGTTGTGCAGAGCAGTTCTACCTTCTCTGTAAGAGGGTAGGTACCCACTTTTCACAGGAATATTCACTGCAGACATTTCACAAATCTCTACTGTAAATCAGGTTTGACTTTCTATCCATGGTAAAAATGCGACTGATTTTGAAACAGGGATATCAAAGGAATCTTTCCATGTCTTTCAAAAGCAAACATTGTTTCTTGACCATGTGCACTGGGTCTGGCTGGGATGGAGCTCTTTTTCTTCACAGAAGCCCATGGGTTCCTTTGCTTTGCTTTTGTGGCTGAACATTTATTGACCACACATCAGTGTCTTGGCTGTTGCTAAGCACTGGTTGCTCATGCTCTCCCTCCCCACCCTCCCAGTAAATAGGTCGGGCGAGGGCAATGAGCCTCTGTGATAACATACTTAAGGAGGGGGAAAAAACTAATCAGCAACAGCCAGAGAGTGGGGTGAGAGAAGCAGCTGTGTAGAAAGCAATGTCAGTGAAGAAGGAGGAGGAGGAGGTGTTCTGGGCACCAGAGCAGAGATGCCCCTGCAGCCCGTGGTGAAGACCATGGTGAGGAAGGCTGCCCTGCTGCAGCCCATGGAGGTTAATGGTGGAGCAGATATTCTCCTGGAGCCGATGCAGTTTAATGGTAGAGCAGCCCATTGAGGTTACCAATGGAGCAGACATCTGGCTGCAGCCTATGGAGCTTAATTGTGGAACAGATACCCTCCTACAAGCCGTGGAGGACCCCACACTGGAGCAGGTGAATGCCGGAAGGAGGCTGTGACCCCGTGGGAATCCCACCCTGGAGCAGGCTCCTGGCAGTACCTGTGCGGCGTGGGGAGAGAGAAGCTTATACTGAAGTTCAACATGAAAACTGAAGA